GTTCCTGCCCCGCTGACAGCTTTACTGCCCTGCTCCCGGCTCTGTTTGCTGCCCGAGCTGCTGGCCTGGCCTGCACTGCTGCCCTCGGCTGGGCTTATGGCCTGTCACCACCGGGAGCACTCTGCACTCTGACCTTTGCTGCGAGGGCTGCTGAGCCTCGGCAGAAGGTGCAGGAGGAGCCTGGCTGTGATTTAGAGCCTGTCCCAGCCCTGTGTCACTGCCATCTCCCGCCAGTGCCCGCCACGTTGTCCCCCTGGCAGGCTGGCACTGTCCCCTGAAGCAGCCCCTTCCCTTTGTCTCCTGCTTTCCCAGCCGGGCTGTGGGGTGACCGCTGTTCCCTATTGTGTGCTGGGGTGGGAATGCTCCTGTTCCTTCTCCCAGCTGGGACCAGCTCGGAAGCTGTCTGTGAAATGCCTTTGTTCACCCCGCGCCGGAGCGGCTCCCCCGGCTGTTTACAGCCCATTGATCCCCTCCTTCCCAGGGCCGGGGCACAATCGGCCTTTGGGGGGGCCTCGCTGCCCCATTTCCTGCCCCATGCAGTGTCGGTGGGGAGGCTGCTCCAGCACAGGGGAAGGACTGAGCGCTGACGGTGACAGCTTGGGCATTGGTGGCACCTGGCCGGCAGCCCCTGCCCTGCTCCCATCCCTGCCTGTGGCACTTCCAGCTGTTTTCCGTGTGTCTGGGGGCTCCTGTCCATCCCGCTGCAGCTCTGTGCGTTCCCGCAGGTGCTGGGACAGGGGTGAAGCAGCTTCCCAGACTCGCTGCCTTTTCTCCTAAGCCTTCAGTGCTGTAAACCCACCCTTCCTCCCATTGAATCCCAACAATGTGCCGCTTGGGAAGTGCCGGCGGGACAAGAATAGGAGCGGGCAGCTCTGAGGGCTAGGGCGAGAAATCGTGGCGGCTCACGAAGAGCCAGAGGAAGCTTTGCTGAATAAGCCATTATGGTAAAACCCTGCTCACAGCCACTCACGTGCAAATGCTCGGTCTGGTGCAGGGGGTTTGTGGTCCAAGCTGCTGTGGAAGCCCTGCCTGCAGTGAGCCTGTCCACAGGCGAGGCGTCCCACACCTGGCCAAGAGGTCAGTGTTTGGTATGAGAGCATCCTCCAGGCTTGTCCAGCTTCAGGGATGCCCCTGCATCCATGACTGCACTGTTCCATGGATCAGGGGTTGAATCCAGCAGCCACAAGTACTCCAAATCCCAGCCCAGCCTGTGGTGGCCGTGCCTCAGGCTCCTAACTATCCTAGCTATCCTCTCAGCAGCCCTGGGAGGATGGATGGGACTCAACCTAACAAAACTCTGAAAAATCCTAGCCTGTTCTTCCATCTCCTGCCTAGGCTGAATAGCAATCATTATCGTCTACAATCAGGGGGGTCAGGCTGACTGCAGTGCTCTTGGCATGGCCTGAGGGCAGCTGCATCTTCCTGATGGACCCTCTGTCCTGCCCAGGTCCTGCATTGCTCCTGCAATCCATGGTGAACAGCTCATGAGAGGAGGAGAGGTGGTTTCCTCAGGCAGGATGCTGGCAGCAAGCTGTGCCCCAGCTCACTGAGGGGACTGGGACAGCTGCTGTGCCTGGGGGACAGTGACATCCCCCTGGCCATCCGGCACACCTGGATGGCTGCTCTGGATGTCCGGTTAGATCAGAGCAGGGATCCAGCTGGGGATGAGGTGACCCTGTGCTGGCACAGGGATGTGTGACGGTGTTCACAGGGGTCTGAGGATGAGGGAGGAGACGAGGATCTGACTCCGTGTTTCAGAAGGCTTGATTTATTATTTTATGATATATATTATATTAAAACTATACTAAAAGAATAGAAGAAAGGATTTCATCAGAAGGCTGGCTAAGAATAGAAAAAGAAGGAATGAATAACAAAGGTTTGTGGCTTGAGCTCTCTGTCCGAGCCAGCTGACTGTGATTGGCCATTAATCAGAAACAACCACATGAGACCAATCACAGATGCACCTGTTGCATTCCACTGCAGCAGATAACCATTGTTTACATTTTATTTCTGAGGCCTCTCAGCTTCTCAGGAGGAAAAATCCTAAGGAAAGGATTTTCCATAAAATGTCTGTGACAGGGATGTCCCAAGGCCGTCTGGGCCCTTCCTGCAAGGCCTGCAGTGATGATGCTTTGGGAGGAGAGGAGCAGGGTGGGAGCAGGGCTGGCAGGGACTCAAACTCTGCTGTCCCATCCTGGTGCAGTGCAGTGACCCCAGGACACCCTGGACCTGTCCCCAGTGGGGTGACCTTGGGACACCCAGACCTTCCCACAGCACGGTGTCCCCACAGCCCCGGGGCACGGCGGGTGCTCACCCCAACTGTCCTGGAGAGCAAATAAAACATCCCTCAGCGTGTGTCCCACAACCCCTGGAGACGTCTGCTCCCTCCCAGCCCAGGCTTTTCCCAGGCTCTGGATTTGCCCTTTTCCTGAGAGCAGCCAAGTCTTTCCCAGCCTCCACGTCTCGCTTCCTGCTATGGCTCCTTCCATGCTGCTCCTGGAGGCTCCTTCTGTGGCCAGAAAGGGCCTGAAGTGCCGTGGGAGAGGAGCAGCTCTGCTCTACAGCAAGTCACATCCCTCGAGCCATAGCTGGGGACAGCTAAAGGGGAACGTGTTCCCTTCCCATTCAGCTGCAGGGGAACGTGTTCCCTTCCCATTCAGCATAGGGGAACGTGTTCCCTTCCCATTTCTTTCCCATTCCCTTCCCATTCCCTTCCTTTTCCCTTCCCATCAATCCCCAACGAGGGGATCAATGGATCTTCCTGCACGTACAGCTCAGGCTTGGTTCCCTAACCCCAGCACTCCAGGAGCACTGTGGGTCCTTGTTTTTAGGCCACATGGATCTTCCCATACCACAAAAAGCCCCTGGCTCTGCAGGCAGCAGCCTCTGCTTGCCTGGTGTTGCATCAGGATGATGCCCTGAGCTGCTGGCAGGGTTAGGAGCCATGCCAGGGTGGGCACAGGGTGCTGGGCACTGCAGTCCTGGTGCCTCCACACGAGGAAATGGCTGGGGGTGAGCGACAATGTCAGGATGCAGCTATTGAGTGCATTTCCTCCCTCCTGCAGTTCTCACACAGGGCTGCATTGTCTGCCATGCCCGTGCATGGAGGGACCCTAGTGGAGGGCTAAATATAACCCCAGGGAGGAAGGGAGCACCGTGGGGTTTGCTTTTCCTTCACTGTGCACCCTTGGAAAGGGCAGGATTATTCCTGGTTTGGGGTTGTCCCAGTGGTGGGCACAGAGTGCTGGGGTCAGGGCTCTGTGCCTGGCCTGGGAGGATGCTCCTGACTGCTCCCACTCCCCCTGAGGACACACCTGGGCAGTGACAGGGCCCTCTGGGCACGTGTGGCCATGCTGTGGCCCTGCCTGGCACCCTCCTGCCCTGCTCTCTGCCCTTCTTCCCCCTCAGCTGTGATTCTGCTCCCACCTCGGCTCTTCCTGAGTGGGTCACATTTAGACACTTGCTGTTTGCTGCATGCTGGGAAAGGTTAAAAATAAACTCCTTGGTGCTTGGCCAGCACCTCAGGCAGGGCAGCCCTCTGTCCCAGGCATGGCAGAGCTGAGCAGGGTGCCTGGCATGGACTGGTCAGAAACCTGGTCAGAAACCTCCCTGCAGAGGAGCCCCAGGGCTCCTGGGGACTGTGACTGGTGTTAGACCAACATCCCCAGCAGGAATTGGGGTTCTGGGGAGAGAACTGGCAGAGCTGCCTCAAAGTGTTTCCTAACTCTGGGGGTGCCCATGGGAGCCCCTCACCGTGCCAACATGGGGCTCAGCATCATCACCCAGGGCCGGGTGTTGGGGGAGCGAGTGCCGTTCCCACAAGGGACCGGAGGGAGCTGTTTACTCAGGAGGGAGTGTGGAGGTGTGAGAAATGCCTGTCTGACCACTGTCTGTCCCCGGGCTGTGCCAAAGCGCTCAGCCTGGCCTCTTATCAGCTCCAAACTTTTATTTGCCTAAGGGCTGCCCGCCCACCTTCTGCAAGGCTGCTGNGATCAGGAATTTGAGCTATGTTATGCAGAGAGCTGTTGTGGCAGGAGCTCAGCAGGAATCTGGGGGCTGTGAGCTGGAAAACCCTGGAGAGAGGGAAGGTGCCAGAAGCACTGGAAGCTCTGATTCCTTGCAGAGGCAGCTGCTCCCTGCCCCACAGCCAAACCCTGTAAGGGCCAGGTGGAGAGAGGGGCTGGATCCCCCTGGGCAGCTTCTTGCCTGCAGTTTTGGAATTTCTGGAGCGGCCTTGTGGTCACAGTGAGAGAGTTCAGGTGCATTTGGCATGGACAGAAAATCTCCCTCAGGCAGTTGGGTGGGGAGCTGAAACAG